CACAACAAACCAGAGTGGTATTTACCACTTCAAGCTGTCTTCACTCCTGACAAGACAACTAAAGTTCGTCTGGTGTTTGATTCATCCTCCAAAGGGCATGATGGATTGAGTCTGAACGACCATTTAGAAAAGGGCCCAAATTACATCAATAATCTCTGTGACATCCTTTTGGCTTGGCGTTGGGACAGTGTCGCTTACTCTGGTGACATAAGGAAAATGTTCAACCAAATCACAGTTCATCCAGAAGATCAAATCTTCCACCGCTTCTTATGGAGGAAAAGCCCTCAAGACCCGCCTACTGTGTATCAGTGGCTCAGGCTGAACTTCGGAGACAAACCAGCCCCAGACATCGCCACCAATACGATTAACTTCCTCGCAAAGTCATCTGAAGACCAGTTCCCTGAAGCTGCAGCGGAACTTAGAGAACATGCATATGTCGACGATATTGGAGGTTCAAAGATGCAGTCATCGGAAGCAAAGAAAGTCATCAAAGACCTCGACACAATACTGAGCAAAGGACAATTTAAAATAAAGGCCTGGCACTCAAACAACAGAGCCATAGACCAATCTGAAGGAGACCAATTCACTGATCTACTGGGACACAGATGGAACAAAGACACAGATACTTTCTCCCTCAAAAGAAATGCAATCACGGCACCTCATCAGAACTTGACGAAACGAAACTGCCTAGCACTCCTCGCTCAAATCTGGGATCCCATTGGTCTAGTGTCACYAGTAACAGTAAAGTTCCGAATCGATCTTCAAGATCTTTGGAGCTCAGGGTTTAACTGGGATGATGTCCTACCCGATAGCCTTCAACAAAAATGGAGAGAAAACTTGGAGGTAATGAATCATTTATTGACCTTCGAGTTCAAGCGACAACTAAAGCCTAGCAACGCAGTTGGTCCACCCGAAGTCCACGGATTCTCTGACGGAGGGGAGTTAGCCTATGGAGCCGTCATCTTCCTCAGATGGGAACTGAAAGATGGATCCTATAAATGCGTCCCAATAATGATTAAGCCCTTCGTCGCACCACTGRAAAAGAAGTCGATCCCGAGACTCGAACTGCTTGGATGCCTCGCTCTTACCAGGATGTATGACAGCTGTACGAAAGCGCTGAATTTTGCAAAGATCAACAACTGTAGAAGAACATTCTGGGTCGATTCATCCACAGTACTCTCTTGGTTGAAAACCCCTCCAAAGGAGTTCAAACCCTTTGTTTCTGCCAGAGTAGCCGAGATACAAGAAACGGTCGACACMAACGACTTCAAGTACATCAGATCAAAGCACAACCCCGCGGACGCCCTTACCAGAGGCATCAAGGCAGAGCTCTTGAACTCTTGGTTTAACGGACCTGAGTTCCTACAGCGTCCAGAAAGTGAATGGCCCACGTTCGAAGAAGAGCCAAAAGGCCTTAACGGAGAGCCTTCGTTAGACGCTGAGACCAGAAGAGAGAAGAAAACCTCAACGAAGAATGAAATGGGAACCTACAACACAAGGTCTACCACAATCCACTTGKCAGCTGTTTTCAAAGGAGAAGAGAAAAAAGACAATCCCATTCTTTCGCACCTGCTGACATCATGCTCCACATTCCAGAAAGTCAGAAGGACCCTGGCCTACGTACTACGTTTTGTCCAAAAGGCTGCAAAGAAATCAACAGAAGGAGGACCTCTCACAGTTAAAGAACTGAGTAACGCAGAGAAGCATATCTTCAAATTTGTACAGCTGAAAGTAGATGTTACGAAACTCGATAAGGGTTTGATCGCTCAAGCAGATAAAGATGGTATCGTGAGAGCCCATGGACGATTAGAGAATGTACAATCCCTTCCACATGATATGCGAAATCCAATCATCCTCCCGAAAGATCACCCCCTCGTAGAGCGGCTTATCATACACCTACATAACGAAAGGAGACACTGTGKATACAAGAGCTTAATCCACGAGACCCGGAAACGTTTCTGGATTGTTGGAGTACGAAGTATGGCTAAACGTCTTACAAGAGAATGTGTGGTGTGCAGAAAGCTCCGAAGGAAGCCGCTAGAGCAGCTCATGGGTCAAATTCCCCATCTTCGTGTTGCCACAAGTTACCCTGCCTTTACGAACACAGCACTCGACATGTTTGGACCAATCCAGATACGACTTAATCGGAAAACTTTAAAAGAGGCTCAAATCATAATCTTCACATGTATGACCACAAGAGCAGTCCACCTGGAGTTGGTGACAGACAAGAGCACGGAAACTTTCCTTATGGCGTTCCGACGTTTCGCAAGCTTGAGAGGTCACCCGAGCGTGTGTTGGTCCGATCAAGGCACAAACTTTGTCGGATCTCAGCACTACCTTGAAGAAATTATGAAACAGTGGGACCTAGACAAGATCCAAACCACTCTATCTAATGACTTCACGTGTGATTTCAAATGGGAATGGAACATCCCAACTGCCAGCCATCAAAATGGAGTTGTTGAATCACTAATCAAGTCTGTACGTCAARCCCTTGATGCAACTTGCAAGAACCAAAGCTTCTCAGAAGAACAATGGCGCACCTTCCTTGCCGAAACCAGCTACATTATCAACAGCAGACCTTTATATCCTRGCTCGGACAACATCTGGGAAAGTCCACCAATCACACCTAATGATATACTGATGGGTCGACACATTTCWCCACCTCAGCCCTTAGCGGAAGAAAAAGTCAGCCCCCGTGACCTAGTGCGATCTACTCAGAAACGTATTGAAGAATTTTGGTGCTGTTGGATGAAGTACTTTTCACCAAATCTGCTCCCAAGGAACAAGTGGTACCGAAACAGAGAGAATGTAGCTGTTGGAGACTTGGTATTACTAATCGACCCGAAGCRGAGGAGAACCAAATGGAACGTGGCACTAGTAGTGACCACATACCCAGGGGATGACGGACTAGTGAGGAAAGTCAGAGTCAAGACACAAACTGGCCAATATGATAGACCAATACACAAACTCTGCCTCATTGCCACTCACCAGGAACTTCAGAGTGGCAATTAAACGAAGAACACTCCAAATATTAACATTATATCCCATAGTTAAAATACTGTTTTCAAACGTTACTCAATTGTAACAATTTCCGTACTGGAGGGGAGTGTTACGCTCTCTCAACTTGATTAATGATTTACCTGACGATTTATAGCACACGTGCTGATATATATTTAGATAGGAGCGATTGTATTTCAGTTG